GAGGGGCAAACGAATCAGGAGGAGTGTGTTGGGTACCAAATCAAACTCAAAGTCGGACTGAAATATTTTTGGTTCTTTTTTTTTAATTTGGGTATTGTTCAGATGTGGCCGGATCTCATTCGAAAGGCTAAAGATGGGGACTTGAATGGGATTCAAACCTATGTTTTCTGGAATGGGCATGAGCCTGTCCAAGGCCAGGTAAAATACTAGAACTTTAGCTTTTTATTTTTGGTGAGAGTTTTGATGATTTATCGATGACTTTCTTTTGGTGTGCAGTATTATTTTGAGGACATGTATGACTTGGTTAAGTTCATCAAGTTAGTACAGAAGGATGGCCTATATGTCAATCTGCGCATTGGCCCTTATGTTTGTGCTGAATGGAATTTTGGGTAATAAGAAAATTTACTATGGATTGATTTATTAATTTAAATATTAATGTTTAATTATGTTTATGGTTTATTGTAATGTATAGGGGATTCCATGTTTGCCTCAAATATGTGCCTGGTATCAGTTTCAGAACTGATAACGAACCTTTCAAGGTACAGAAATAACCCAAAATTTAGCTAATATAAAAGTTTATAATCACATAGGAATATATTTTGATCTTGTCCCTTTTACAGTAGGAAATGCAGAACTTCACCCAGAAGATCGTTGGAATGATGAAATCAGAAAATATATTCCAATGGCAGGGTGACACTATTATCGTATCTCAGGTTACAAGTTTTCAACATTATCTCTACAAATTTATAGTAATACTAATATTGCTTGTATCGATATTAGATTATTTATTGCTATATTTTCGCAGATTGAGAATGAATTTAGGCATCTAGAACGGGATCATGAGGCTCCAGCAAAGGCTTATGCAGGTTGGGCAGCAAAAATGAAACTCGACCTTGACACTGGGATTCAATGGATTATGTGCAAAGAAGATGATGCACCTGATCCTATTGTAAGTTTTTTCTTCTCTTTTTTAAATCATTTTGGATTCCTTTTCAGTGACAGCTTAGTTAAATAATTTATAATTGTGTTTGCCTTCTCTACAAGGACCCACTGCACATGCTTTAGTAATCTTATATTCTATCTCACTGCACCTCTTTAAATAGTCAAATTGAATCATTCTTAATAGTAAAACATTTTCTTGAATTCGTATAGATTAACACGTGGAATGGATTTTATGTCGACGATTTCTCTCCAAACAAGCCATATAAACCATCTATGTGGACTGAAGTCTGCACTGCATGGCAATTGCTTGAATTCTAAGCAACTTTTCATTAGTTTAATTAGGAAGATATGGTTATTTTTGAGCCAAATTCACAACCTTTTGTTTTCTTTTGTATAAATTTCAGGTTTACAGGGTTTGGAGGTCCAATTCATTATCAACACGTTGAAGATGTGGCCTTTCCTATTGCACAGTTTATACAGAAATGTGGATCTTATTTCTACTACTATATGGTGAGGATTTAATGTACTATTTATTTGTGTTTCATCGAAATATTATGTTTCACAAGTGTGACTTTTACTTACTTGCTTTTTGGCTATAGTACCATGGTGGAACGAATTTTGGCAAGACAGCTGGTGGTCCATTCATAGCTACAAACTATGATTATGATGCTCCAATTGATGAATATGGTCAGTTAATCTTATGCATTGTTTAATAAGTATGATTAGTTTGCCAGTTTCTCACTTAACACCTTTCTCTTCGAGTCACTATGCAGTAATTTTTAAATTAGGCAAATTATAGCAGTTAAGAGAAGATATGTCTCTTACCAAATACACTTTATAGGTAGATAATTTCAATGTTCACACCTATTAGGCATACACTAACACACTTTAAACATTAAACAAGGTAATCTTCTTGCACTACTAATGAGTACAATAGAGAATGTGCAAACACTTAAGAAATTAATAACAAATAAATAAATGTTTAATATACACTACTATATCACCAATTATGACATAAAACATTTTAATCCGGGATCACGTTTTGTCCTTGCTCTCTGTCAACTATTGAAAATTTACACTCTTTTTCCATAGGTCTGTTAAGAGAACCAAAATCGGACCATTTGAAAGACTTGAACAAAGCAATCAAGTTCTGTGAACCTGCTTTGGCTTCTGGGGATCCTATTAGGACATCACTTGGAAGCAATCAAGATGTAGCCTAGCTATAAACAAATATTCTTTTTGTAGAACATCCTTATAAATGGTTTACAGACTAACTCTTCATCATTCCTTGGTATAGTCTCACGTTTTCAGGTGATACTCAAAATTTAATTAAAGTAGCTTTCAATGGGATGCACTATGATCTTCCTACTTGGTCTGTTAGCATCCTTCCTGACTGTAAAACCTCTGTCTTCAACAATGAAAGGGTGAGCAAAACCTTTGATTCAACGTCGTACAATTCAATAATCTCTTGTATAGATGTATAATACAAATTTGACTTTTTAATATATAAGTCACACATTTTGCCAATTATTTGCAAAGCTACCCTCTAAATAATCAAATCTGGGTGGAAAAAATCCACAAATCAACAAATTAATTTGTGGGATACAGTGATAAAATGTTAACTATTTTCTTTGATATTAGGAGTATTCTTGCAAATATCTAAATTTTTGTGTGTGCATGTACTTTAGGATTTTCTAGAATACAGTTTGATGGTCTATATTTCTAGAGAAAGCCCTGATTCTAAGCTGCTGTTTCTAATATTGGTGTTGACATTTAGGATTTTCTGGAATTCAACGCAACAGACTACCTTTGGTACACAACATAGTGAGTAATTAATCTTGGCATTTTGACATCTCTCAATTTATGGCTTTGTTGCATGGACTTTCAATGGATGCTAATAGAAATGCTTTTAATAATTAGAATTAGATTAAGATGAAGGCAGAGTTGGCTTTAGGAGGATCATAACCATATCAGGTAACAAACAGATACTTTTCAGTTAGGATTCCTGAACTCTAACGTTGTATTAATTCATAATTTTATTTTTACTATGAAAATTTTATAATGTCGATAAAAGTGGATGTATCTGTTGCATTCTTTTCTTTCCTTTTCATATTCAACATATAAGTTGGCTTTTTCCTTCTCTTATCTGGGCATCTTTTTCCACATAGCATAGTCATATGAATCATGAATGCCCTGTTTGGTGGTCTATATTTCTAGAGAAAGCCCCGATTCTAAGCTGCTGTTTCTAATATTGGTGTTGACATTTAGGATTTTTTGGAATTCAACAAGTCTCGCTTACAACAATTACCTTGTTAAATTTTGGAGCCTATTCCCTTGGGAGAAGGTGCCGGTGTTGGAATGATGAAAGGGGTTGATTCCATGGCAATGCCTGAAGGATCCACATTATTTGAGCTTGTTCAAAGTGGCATTACCTATTCTCATGCTTCAGTTGGGATATTGGTTCGCTTGAGGAAGGAATTATCATTGGTGAAAGATATTCCTGTGATGTTTGCAATTGATCAGGCATGTTAAAAGTTTTCAATGATCCAGAATCCAGTTTCTTATACAGCTAGGTCTCATCGAATATAACACTGCATACACAAACTAATTTTTTTTCCATTTTCCTTCTTTTTTCTTCTGTTTCGAGTATAACAACTGGTTTACATCCATCGAACATGGGGAACCTGTAACCGTTCAATCTTGCCGACCAATTCATACTAAGGTACTCCCCACGGTTAGTGACAGTTTGTAACTAATTTTTTAACAAATATCACGTCCACGGTTAGTGACAGTTTTCATAGTTTTCAGCATCACAATAATTTTCTTCCATGGGATATCTGATCTAATTTCTGAGCTATTGAAACAGTCTAGGATTTAGCTAATTTTAATTGATTTGCTCTTGTAAGAGGAAGTGCTAAGTGATTACTGTCAATTACTTCATGACTAAATGACATTGATAAATTTTAATATCAAGTATCAATTTATTTTAACTTTGCACATGATTGTTGTAGATGTTTCTGAAGAAACTATAAGATAATTTACTGCCCCATCAATCATATTCATTGATGAGATAGATGCAATTGCTTCCAAGCGAGAAAACCTGCAAAGGGAGATGGAACGGCGGATAATAACACAACATATGACTTGCATGGATGAATCACATTGCACTCAGTCTTCTGATGATTCCCAAAAACATCTGAGAAGAAGCTTGGTTATGTTCTTGTTATCGGAGCAACAAACAGACCAGATGCACTTGACCAAGCTTTAAGGAGACCTGGACGGTTTGATCGTGAGATTTCTTTGGGTGTACCTGATGAAAAAACAACTGAGTATTGCATGATTGCAAGGTTAGGTGATCAATGAGTTCCTATCGTTCAATTGCATTGCAAATGAGCATAGTTTTGGTTGGGATATTCACATGAGTTGGGAAGAGAAAAAACTGAAAATATGTTGTTTGTGTGACTTTGTTTTGGATGAATCCTCAGGTACAAGTTCAGGTGAAAATAAACTAAACCGTATGATGATTTTTGGAATATGACATGGTATCTGTGTAGAATTTGATTTTCGTTAAAGTGGAGTATTACCTTATGTAGAGTATATAATTAAGTAATTAACTATGATTTAAATTTATCTACAGGGAAGTTCATGTTGTTATTAGTCAATTTCCAAGGGTTAACTTCATGACCGCTATAATTCATCAATCTAAAGGGAAACACAAAGTGCAGTCAGAAGCTTTTGCTTGGATTTACATCCACAGCTTCAAACATTACTTTTATGTATATTCTTGTTATTGTATTTGATTGATCAATCACCATGTAGATACAACCACTCTACTATCGCATAATTGATCCTTAAATATAAATGTATTAATCAAACATTTTTAATTTTTAGCTTATGTTCATATATACTGTGTACATTCATTAAATTTATACCAAATCTTTCCATAAATATAATTATAATTTAAATTAATATTAAAAATTTTACCACGTGCATTGCACGTGCAATCTAACTAGTAATGATAAAAAATACGAATCCTATTTCAGAATCCTACTGTTCTCCGTAGATCCTCTCCATACGTAATAGCGCCGCTGACATTAATTGGTGTCGTGTTAGCTTTTCCACAAGTTTTCTTCCCGACCCCAAAAACCTACAAAATTTTTTACTTTCCCTTCTCAAATCTATCTCAATCTGCGATCGCACAAAAACAAATAAAAAGAACCAAACTTTGATACTCAGATTATCGGCAGCTAATTAGAGAAAGATGTGAGGGGGAAAAGTCATTGATTTTATTTCAGCTCGTAAGATTTCTCTCTTTCGATGCCTTAATTTTTTCTATTTTGAATTTTTTCAAGGAGTTTCGATGAAATTGGGAGCAGGGCGATAAACCTCGCGATTAGAGCTCTTCGGAAGCGGCGTTTGGTCGAAGAGGGCGCTCATGCTCCTGCCATTGATGCGCTCTCGAGGCCCTGGGCGGTTCAGGTACTGTTCTTGATGATGATTTTGGTCAAAGTTTGATTCTTTTTTTATTTGGGTTTGTTGAAACTAGGGTTTTGGTGTGACTTAATGTGATTTCTCTATTGTTTTCTTGTTAGCATTTTGACAAACAATTGGGGTGCGTACGAATATGATGATTTAAAAAAAAAATAGTGCGAAAATCTGATATTGAGGTTATTATGATGAAGAGATTGAAGGTGCATATTGACTCACGGACAAAATTTAATAACTCTAAATTTAAAAGTTGAGAAATATTTGTTTTGTTTCTCATATATTGGTCTGAGTAACACTTCCTCTATGTAAAGGAATATGATAGGATGGGATCTTTAGTCAATGTGGGACTAAATACATTGATCCTATATAATCTAACTCTTTCAACACTGCTAGTTGAGCTAGCATAAGTACCATGCATTTTTACCAGGAGGTTTAATGAATTAAGTGTACCGCCCAAGGTGTAAATGTAAACTTGACATGTTTGATTTTTATATGTAGATCCTCATAATCTATACCGGTGACCTTCTTTCGACTGCATGACAATTAAGTTCAATATGTTTGCTCTGTTCATAAAATTCTAAGTTAAATGTAATGTAGATAGCTGCTTGGTTATGACATATAATCTCATCATGACTTTTGGTAGACTCTTAACTCATCAACTAATTGTTTAATCCAAATTATGTCACTTTGGTTTTGCATTCTTTTTGGAGACAACATCACACATTTTTACTTTTCAAGAAGCCAGATTCCCTGAAAGAAACTCATAATTGACAAAAGCAGATCTTTAAGTGTCTAGATAGCTTCCAAACTTTTGTGAAACCTGCTATGCAACAATATCAACCATGTGAATACATGAGCTCCCTCCCTGCAGCACCCTTCATATATCAAAGAATCTGATTGCAGCCTTTCAACGGCCAGTGTGAGTATGAGAGCAAATATTAATTGACTGGCCGTACGTATTCTGAAAATAATATCAGGTTGAGTTGCAGTGAGATAATTCGAACAGTTAATTCGTATTTGTTGCTCTGTTTCTCTCTGAGACTTTTTCAGTATTTTGAACCCATAATCCATACTGTTCATGTATTTAATTGATTTTCTTTATTTTAATTTGGTTTGCTTTCTCGTCTTTGAGCGCCATGTAAAACTGTTTGTTGATCAATTATGTAGGGCTTAGAGTGGAAGGAGAAAGCTGAAAAGATTGAACTAGAGCTGCAACAATGCTATAAAGCTCAGTCACGGTTATCTGAGCAGCTTGTAGTAGAAGTGGCAGAATGCAGAAGCGCAAAGTTTCTTGCTCAAGAGAAAGAAGCATTGATTACAGCACTGCAAAGTGACCTAGCACAAACAAGGTTGCTGATTTCTAACTGATTAAACTAAACAGTTTTGCCTTACGAGCAGTTTTTAACTTTTTGTGGTCCAAATTTTTAGAGAAGAGAACTGCCAACTGAAAGAGAGTCTGGATGAGAAAACGAAAGGTTTAGATCTCTGTATTAGTGAGAACCATTCACTTAGAGCACAACTTGCGGAGGTTCAATTGAAACTGAAGAATGCAGAGGCTGACAACAAGAACTTGATTGATCGTTGGATGTTAGAAAAAATGAAGGATGCAGAAAAGCTTAATGAGGTAATGTCTCTGCCACAATTTGGGTTCTATGTTGAGAAATCTTCTCTATGTTTCGAGATCATAAACTACTCCATTCATTAATCATGTTTTCTGTTATGGAGATTCTTCATGATGTGTATTTAGGATCTTAGCAATGCAGAAGATAAATCTTTTCGTGTGTAGGCATTGAGGGAGGGAAGGGTGTGGTTGCTTACCTTAGAAGGGAAGGTGGTGAAGAAACAGTATTAATTCTGAATTCTTATACAAGTTTAGCAAATAACTCAAAAAGGGAGAGCAAAGGGGAAAACATTTACCTTGCACAATTGTTTGCCAAAAGTCCACAATATTCGGCCCGAAGGTCGTATTTGCTTGTGATACACTGTAACACCGTGTTCCAAGCTGGGAAAATATTGGCCCGTCCTGTGTGTGTCACTCTGTGTTCATTTATTTGGTCACATTTGCATGCACCTCCATATGGTATATGCTATCTATAGAGAAAAAATTCAGTTGATCTTCTTAAGGATCACACTTTTGTGGGAGAAGGTTTATCATGGTATCATTATTATAATCACATGAAGAGTTGAGGGTAGTAAGGGCATCTGGACTATTTTGACTACTATGAATCATAATATTATAAATGTTACATGTAGGGGATAACAAGCTGTCCGGTTTGGGAATTGATGTGACTGACATTTGTTTTATATGCATCTGTGATCTGACCCCTTTATGTTTCTAGTGACCTGAAACATGACCGTCCAACCATATATTACCTAGTCAGGTTTTAAATGGGTTGTCATGGACTTATGATTGAATGTTTTTTTAACTTAGTATTAGTAGGAACTGATGACATAAAATGGCAATTCAGGTTCTAGATAAATTACCCACTTTGCCTTTACTATAATTGTTTCAATATGTAATGAGATTTAGATTAGTCCTGGCTTAACATAGATCATTTAAAGCCATGGACTCAAACTTGACACCAACCATAGACTTTACCATGAATGTGCCACAGGAAGGACCTCCCTTTGTCAATATATTTAGAAAGGTCTACAGTTCAGACCTAAAAACCGACCTGTGTCTAAACGAGTCAGTTAGATTGATCCATTTCGAGCAGCATCCAATCAAGGCCAACCTGAATTTGCTAACTTTGTGTTAGGTTTCAAAAATAAGATTGATCCTATTTTATGCTTGGTTTAACTCTCAAAGATGAATTTGCTGTATGCCATGTGAGAATGCCCATATGATGACAGCCTGTGAGAAAATACTGGGTTGGCTGTTTTTTCTGTTGACGGTTTGTACAATATTGAGGACAGGTGATGAATTAATATTAGCATCAGATAAAATTTCACAACCTTTAGTGGAGTTCCTTAATAATGTACAGAAAGACTCCTCATTAGGAACAACTATTGCTGTAGGGAATTGATGATTAACTGAAAAGCCTAGTTTATGGAATACAGAAACTTTTATAGCTGATCTTAGCCATTGATATTTCATTATTGTAATCGTTGAAGGGAAAACACTTCAAAGTTGTTCCTGCATTCTTGTCAGACACATATTGGATATGACACTTGCTAGATGGTCACCTTTCCCTCGGATTTTAAGAAATGAGAAAACATCACATCAGTGCAGCTTATCGGAAATTGTAAAGATGGAATGTTGCATGCCATGGCGTTACTTCACTCAAATAGACATAAAAGAATACTTTTGAAATAAGAGAGACTATCTTAACAAAAGTTAAAAGAGTTGCAAACATGTGCATGGTGTTTCATAGACCTGTATTTAGGTAAAGTTTTAGATTGGGCTTTCTGATTTGCTTTGTTTGATTTATTTTCTTTATAATATGCAATGAATTTGTTAATCATTATGATTTGGATGTATATTTTATGTAGAAAATGCATATTCAATAGTCAAGGCCTTGTCCCTGTATCCAAGCTTTAAGATTGACATGTCCTTGTGCCACCATTGTTTGTGTCCTGTGTCTGTGTCCATGCTTCCTCTGCTAGAATGATCATAAATTTGTACGCCTTAGTGATCTGGACTGCAACTTATTGTTAAATCATGACAGAGAGAACCAAGAGTCTAAATGATGGATAACAGTTCCATAGGGTAAGGGGGAACGCATGTCAGATAGTGGATGTTGGGAGTTTCGAGTTTAAGTAGAAGCCACCATAGTCGATGAAAGACATGCATATCTGATGTGTAGATGTTGACAATTTTAATGTAATGAATTTCTACTTGTTATCTATCTAATAAAACTTGTTATCTATCTAATAAAACTGTAAAGATCATTCGAGACTTGTTCATGGAACAAGTAAACAACATAATAAGATCTACACATAGAACTATTTTACTTATAAACAATAAATACATAGGATAAATACATAAATAAATAATAAACCAGAACACTTGTACTTCATGCGCGAAACATCATATTAGGGACATATTGAGAAAATGTTGATCATATACATCATATCAAACCTGACATGTCGATGATATTTATTAAGACACGATATACTCTGCATGACCTTCAGAAATGCATTGGAGCTCAAAACACATCTTAGCTGAAGTGAGGATATGTTGGGGACATTTAAAACATTTGAGAGTTTATTTTACGTATATTTGACTATAAGCTAGAGCTTTATTTTCAAGAGAGTAATAAATCCTGGAGTCACACATTCAGCTTGACAGTGGAAAAGAATTGATGTGAAAGAATTGATGTAATCTACCTTGATAAGGTGCAATACAGAGTTCTGATTATCTTTTTACTGCATGTATGATTGAAGGTTCTTTTCATTTTGTATGTTATATATTAAAATTCAGCAGTGTCATTCATTTGTGCATGTGCTAAAAAAATAATGCATACACTATATTTTAACTTGTACATAGAAATTCAATAAAACTTTTCAATTACTAATGACATGTCATGGAAGCAACTAGAAGAAAACATTAGGACATTCATTCAAAGTTAATAGCTCTTGAGAATTTAGAATTATTGATTCTTGCTGTTTACAAGAGAGGAGAGATTCCGCAATGATGGTGATATGATTCTGGAGAGGTGGTTAGTGGACAAAATAAGTTCTTCTAGTTCAAAAGTCTACCTAATGAAAGTGGTATGCTTTCTAATAATTTGTTTTGATCAAGTGCAAGGTAAGTATGAGAAAAGAGGTTTCCTATGGTAGGCGTGATGCAGCCAATGAGTTCGTCATTGTACAAGTATAATTTATTTTTACCTACGCTAGGTGGGATGCTGTTCCCCCCACTAACCCAAGAAACACACGCAGAGAAAAAGAAAGAAAGAAATAAACCTAATGTTTCTTCAGTAGCTATGTTGCGGTACGGCCCCTGTATTTGTGTTCAACATGAATTTGCGTCGGCACATGCAAAACTTTGTGATATGTGTCGGAACACATCCAACAAATGTATGACCTTGCTGGACCATTCTGGAATTTAGTGTAGAATATGTTTTGTTTTGCGGATCTTATTATGCGGATCTCGAGTTTATATGAAATGGCATTTTTTGATTTATTGTTAATTTGTTATAAATCTTGAAGTTATGTCTTGATTTCCCCTAATTCTTTATATATGCATATACATATAGTATTAGTACATTTTTATGGTTTTCCTCTTTAATTTTTGAAGTTAGCATATCCATATATCATGTCCGTGGCTATGCTCTGTTGTCAGTTACTAGTGAATCCATATCACGATACAAGATCATATGCACACAAAGCAGCATTCTTGCACAATAATAACTTATTTTTCTTAAGCAACATGCTCATCGGAGGACGGGACATCTCTGGTTTATCTAGAACACCTGAAATCTTAATTGCCATCATGATAGAATTCCAGTATGAAAATAATTAGTTCTTTTTACCAAAATATTGCATCTATTTCTCTATGATCCTATTATAAAAGTTGAGATTTATATTGGTAATAATTGAGTGGCGAATTCTAAATGATGGGAGCTACTATGTTGAAACCAATTAAATGAAAAATAATGTTAGGGGCACACCCCCTAACACACCACCAACCACACCCCCCTCTCCCGTCGCTACAGTAAACCGGGCCTCACATGGGATTTTAAAATTTTTAAAATTCCATGTGGGGCCCGATTTACTGTAGCGATGGGGGAGGTGGGTGTGGTTGGTGGTGTGGTAGGGGGTGTGCCCCTAACACCACTCTTAAATGAACAAGTTTAATCCGGAAAAAGGACTTGGTACCTTTTGGCACATCACTGATTTAGTTATCTTGTTGTATTTTGGGTTTTGTAGATCTTAGTCCCTCAAAATCTTCAATAATTTCATATTAGTTCCTCGAATCTTTGAAATTGCTCATAAGTTCCTCAAATTCTTAGGGGGTCTGCAAATAGGTCCCTCAATGACCAAAATGACCTCATCTTATGTTTTTCATGAACACGTGGTTTCAGGGGATCATAAGCTGAGGGAATTTTGGTCAATGAGGAATCTGAAGGAATTAGAAGCAAATTCTAAGATTTGATGGACTATTATGGAATAATTGAAGATTTGACGGATTAATGTGTAAAAACACAAATTTTTATTATATTTTCTACCATTATTCGTCCTGCTTTCTTACCTTGTAAAGAACACAAGCTCCCTTATTCTTGTCACAGGCTAATTCAATGTACGAGGACATGATGCAGCGCCTCAAAGTCTCAAGCATCGAGCAGCTCGCAAGACAACAAGTTGACGGAGTAGTTCGCCAAAGAGAAGCTGGTTACTACGATAACTTCTCAGAATCCTCACTCCCATCTACATTGAAACACACGATCACCCAAGCCCATGCAGGCGGTTGTGGATCCCTAAAATTCGAGCCCACCTCCCACAAACTAATCACTGGCGGCCAAGACCGACTCGTCAATATCTGGGACTCAAACACCGGAACCCTAACCTCCACTCTCCATGGGTGCCTCGGCTCCATCCTCGACCTTGCTATCACCCATGATAATAAATCTGTGATTGCGGCTAGCAGCAGCAATCAGCTCATTGTTTGGGATTCTGGTTCAGGTAGAATCCGCCACACTCTGACTGGACATCAAAACAAAGTATGCGCCGTTGATGCAAGTAAGGCCTCTAGTCGAAGTATAGTGAGTGCATCCTCTGATCACACTATTAAAGTGTGGGACCTCCACAAAGGGTTTTGCATCAATACCATAATCTCTGCTAGCAACTGCAATGCCGTCTGTTACAGCATCGATGGAGTCACGATTTTCTCAGCCCATGTTGACGGAAATCTTAGATTATGGGACAGTAGAACAGGGCAGTTGATAACCGAGGTGGCAGCCCATTCACAGGCAGTGACATCTGTAAACATCTCTCGGAGCGGTAATTTTGTGTTGACGAGTGGCAGAGATAATCTTCACAATTTGTTCGATGTGAGATCTTTGGAGGTTTGTGGGACTTTTAGGGCGAGTGGGAATAGAGTGGCGTCGAATTGGAGTCGATCGTGCATTAGTCCTGATGAGAATTATGTTGCGGCTGGGTCGGCTGATGGGGCAGTTTATGTTTGGACTAGAGCGAAGGAAGATGCGAGTGTTCTTGAAGGGGGGCATTCTTCGCATGTGCTATCTTGTGCATGGGATGGATTGAGTAACTTGCTGGCGTCGGCTGATAAAAATGGGAATATATGTATATGGACATGATGCGGTTTGCAAAATGAGCTCTCAAGAGATGTACACGTGATGAGGCTTATCTTAATTGTCACATTAAAGGTTATGAGCCTATCATTTACTCTCTTAGTAGCTCATTTTACTGAATGAGCAGCCATATATATATATACACACGCGCGCACACACGTTTTTTTGGTTATCTACTTTAACCAACATTTATAAACTTTTTTATTAGCAATTATGGCCTCAATAGTAACTCTAGTTGTTTTTTTAATTTAATTTGTGAGAAGGGGTATGAATGCAAGAGGTTTAGGCGAGATCTATGGTTTTGGTTTATTTTTCTAATTTTTAGAAAAAAGTTCAAAGATTATTTTTAGATTCCAAAAAAATAAATAAATCCCTTATTTATTAAAATTGCCCATAAAAGTTGAATTTTTAACATGTCAAAAATTAGATTTTTACATCAAATTTTTAATTTTTGGGAAAATTGTGTTAAGACCCTAAAAGTAATAACTTCATGTGCTGCACCCCTTTAACTTTTTCCTATGTGCTGCAGCCCTTAAATTGGAGATCTATGTGTTGCGGTCCTTCTTTAGCAATTATTCCTTGTCAACTAAGTATAGAGATAATAAAAAATTTAAAAAAAAAATCTTAAAATGTCCTTATCTCTTTTGTTCTTTTTCTCTCTAAATCTAATGGTTATGGCTCCTTATTCCTCTTCTTTTCTAACCCATCTCCTTCCTCCTCTCCCCTTCTTCCTCCTTTTTCTCTCAGACACTGATTCCCCTCATCCACCACTAAACTTAGGCACATGCTTTCATATTGTTGATCTGGGGGTATATATTACATTGAAAAAACTCAATATTATTCGTTTGTTCTCTCACTATTTTCCCCTGCTCTCTCTCTCTTTCTCCCCCTCCCT